TAATAAAAATAACAATACTTTAATGAAAAAATAAGCACCCAAAAATAGTCTTGGAAATTCTAAAAAAAAAAGAGAAGAATGAAAAGCAGAGGTCTATGAGGCATTAAATTCATTATAAAACTTTATTAAAAGTTTGGTACAGTGTATAAATAGAGACACAGACCAAAGAGACACAGAATCCAGAAATAAATCCCCAAAGGAATTTTTATGCATGATTTTTATATATCGATATATATCCTATATAATAAGAGACACATGTAAATTGACCGTACCTCCACTAAGCTCACCAGCCAATCAGGAGTATGCAAATTAACCTGACAAAGATGTGGGGTTAATTTGCATAGAGCGACTTGGGGAATTTGGCTTCCCAAACCAACAAAGAGCAGAGAGGGAGAGCTGGCTGCTTGGAAGACTTGGCAGAGCGGGAGGCAGTGGTACGGAGACAAAGCAGGAAGGGAAAACCCAGAGCACGGCGAGCACCAGGAATTCTGGGAATAGTTCTGGTGGCAGCCCCAGGACTGGAAGCGGAAGCCTAGAGTGTGGGGAGCACCAGGAATGCTGGGAATCACAGTTCTGATGGCAGAAGGATCTCCTAACATTAAGAGCAAAGTGAGCCTGGAGCAGGTTACTGTTGCAGCGGGGGATGGAGGGAAAGCAAAGATGAGAGACATAAGTAAAATCAGAGTATATAGGTAAAATTAAAGGGAAGATATCCTAAAACTTCCAGGAAATCTCCACCAATGAAGCAAAGAAAAAAAAAGCCTCTATTATTCTGTGAGCAACAAACCAAACTGGGTTAGGGTCTCAGACAATTCGCTCATATGATTGCAACTCCCAGATTGGAGAAGGCTCCCCTGCGAGCTCCCAGATTGGAGAGGGTGCAGGTCGAACTGAGGGACCCACCCCCTGTGCACAAATCTTCATGTACCGGGCCCCTTGTGTGTGGGTGTGTGTGTGTGTACACATATATTTAAAAAGAGGTAATATGCAAATTAGGCTGGGTGCGTAATGGGTCACAACCGGACAGGAGGAGATTGCACACACAGGTGAGGCCAGGAGCAGAGATGGAGACAGAGACAGGGAGGCCTGCCCGAGCCCCAGGGGCCCCGGAGCGGACACAGGCAGGAGGCCCAGGGAATGCTGCAAGTCAGGAGCAGGTCCCCTGCAGTGCCCGTCCAGCCTGACTCCTGTGGGTCCCAGCCACCCCTAGTGCCAGAGAAGCAGGATTTCAGATAAGGGGATGCAGCATTCCACTGCTATCTTGAGTTTGTGGTTTCCAAGGAAACAGCCAGAAGGAATGATAAACCCTCTGCAAAAGGCAAATGGCTCAGCCAGGGCCTATCTAAGCAGGGGCTTCATTTAAATCGAGCCCACAGTGAATGACCCCAACACTCCCTGGATCAAGCAGGTTCCTGTGGAGCACAATCTGCACACAATACAGGGCCCCAGTTCAGTTCAGGCGTTCAGGCGTTCAGGCGATCTCATGCCCTTAGCTCAGAGCAGTGGGGAAGGAAGGGAAAAGGCATCAATGGCATCAGGATCAATGGCATCAGGACCACAACCGGTCACCAGGAGGTGCATGGAGCACCTCTCGGCCTGGTGCCCTATGGGGTGCCTCCCTGCACGGCAGGAGGCAGGGCGTCTCCTTGCACAATTTCAATAGCACCCTGGGCCTCTAGTTATATAATATATAGAGATGACATTTCAAATCATTGGGGGGAAATGGTGTTGAGTTATACTGAAAAATAGATAAAAGTTAAATGTAAACCTTGGTGCCTGCCTTATATAAAAATAAATCATTCTTTTTCTGTCTGAATTTGAAGGTTAGTCTTGCAAAACCTTTGATAGTTAAATAAACAGACAAAATAGTAAATATAGTTTTAAATATTGAGACCTATATATCTTTTCATTTTTGTTTATATAGTATTGAAATCTCACCTAAAAACATTTCAATAAATTAGATAGGGCTTATGTGGTTGTTAGGAAGAGAGCACGTAAGTTTGGCAGAATGAATGAATGATTTCTCTTTAAGCCCCACCTTCTCTCTGTCATTTATGGGACCAAACTAAGGAGTTTCTGCCTATAGCATATATTTCTTCTTATTTATTTATTTATTTAAAAAATATATATTTTATTGATTTTTTACAGAGAGGAAGAGAGAGGGATAGAGAGTTAGAAACATTGATGAGAGAGAATCATCGATCAGCTGCCTCTTGCACACCTCTCACCAGGGATGTGCCCACATCCAAGGTACATGCCCTTGACCGGAATCGAACCTGGGACCTTTCAGTCCGCAGGCCGATGCTCTATTCACTGAGCCAAACCGGTTTTGGCTGTATGTCTTATTGTGATAAACAAGGCTTTATTATACTTTGAGAAGTTTCTCTTGCTATCTCTTTGTAAGATAAACAATTTTTCTTCTCTGCTTCCACTCTTTTTGAGTCCCTGCATGATTTCCATTGTTTTTGGGAGCCCTTCCACATATTTTGAGGGTTGGGTTTTAGCGATATCTTAGTTTTACTGAAAAGGAATTTTTGTTTTTGTTTTTTGGATTATTTCTTGAAGAAGAAGGGGAAATTTTGATTTTGTCACTGTTCTCAAAGTAGGAGTCAATAATGGTATCTTCAATGTCTCCAGAAAATATGTTGCCACATTTTCATAAATTATATTTAATTTGGAGAGAAAAACCTTTCTTGGGATAACTAAAATATAGATTTTAATGTACTTTAATTTGTTTTCTAAATTTTATTTTTAAATGCCATGAATTTCATTTAATTTAGCCTTAAGGAATAACTTACATGTTCTACACTTTCAAGTCTTAAAGACTTGATACATGGAAATTTGATAGCTCACCTTCTCTTGCAGTAGTTCTGATCAAAACCAAAGGGAGAATTTATTGTCTATGATGGTGAATTAATGAGTTTTATTTTGGGTGTCTATTTCAATTCTTGTAGTTTATGCACTTTGAAAATTTCATGTTTTTGAAAATATGTTTTTATTGATTTTAGGGAGAGAGGAAGGTAGAGAGAGAAAAAGGGGGGGGGGGAGAGAAAGAGAGAAACATCTGAGAGAAAAAAGTTAATTGGTTGCATGCACCCCGATCAGCTATCAGATCTGCAACCTGGGCATGTGCCCTGACTGGGAATCAAACTGGCAACTTTTTGGTACATTGGATGATGCTCAGTCAACTGAGTCCCATTGGCCAGGGCAAAAATTACATATATTTTTTTTAAAAAGTAGTATCTACTCATTTAAGAAAATTTACTGATTTACTATAGAATTCCAGGCACTATCTCTGTGATTTCTTCTCTTGTGTTCTCTGTTTTTGTTTCCTGTACTTTTTTTCTAATTCATCACTCAGCTTGCCACTATTTCAATTTGTTTGAAGTAGAGAAATACCATGGGACTTTTCTACTGTTGGTGGGATCCTTGAGGTTATGAGTCTTATCTTTAACCTGTTTTCTCATCTTCCTTTCCTTGATAAAGATAATATTCAGGGATTTTTTAGTGCTTAGGTAGCTGTTCAAGTACCATGTGGGAATCTGGTGCTGGTTATTTTGGGTTTTCAGATTATAAAAGTAAATAACAATATAAAAGACAAGTATTAGTTATCCGTTGCTGTGTAACAAATTGCCCCAGAATTTATTAGTTTAAATCAACAAATGTTTATTATCTTTTATAGTTCTTGAGGGGCAGGAATGTGGGAGCAGCTTAGTTAGGTGGTTCTGGCTCATATACAGAGTGTACAGATTTCATTTAAGCTGCTGGCTGGGGCTGTATTCATCTCAAGGCTTAACTAAGGCTGGAGAATTTACTTCTGAGCTCACACATGTAGTTGTTGGCAGACTTCAACTCCTCACTGGCTATTTGCCAGAGACCTCTGTTCCTTGGGCATTTCTATAGAGGTCCCTGAATATCCTCATGTCATAACAGCTGGCTTCTCTCAGAACGAGTAATCCAAGAGAGAGAGAAAGATAGTGAGTGGCAAAGGAGGTCCAAGATGCAAGCTGTATGTAGTCTTTTATAAGGAAATCTTGTTGTGACATACTATCCCTCCTGCCATGTGCTGTTGGTCACACAGATCAACACTGATGAGAGAGGACTACACAAAGATGTGAATACCAGGAGATAGAGTACACTTGTGACTATCTTGCATGCTGACTCCCAAGAATAGCAATAATATTTTAGAGTAATGAACTCAGTGCCATACTTATCTGAATTCACATACAGACACAATATTTCTTTTATAAAATAATGTATAATGTTTGTATACTTAGTCTGCCATGTTTTATGGAGAAAGAGATATTTTGCTATATTTACATTAAATTTAAAAGATGACCTTGACAAGTTTGTGATTAGGATCATTCTTTGATTTTCTTTTCAGTACTATTAATATTATTTACTGGCTTCCTAATGCAGGGTTTAAACAATTATCCTCATAAAATCTTTGGAAGGAAGCACTTAGCTAAATTTACTCATCAATGTTTATTTGATTTTATTTCCCTCCACATAGCTTATTCTATTAGTTGGGAAGATCCCTCCAATGTTAAATAATAGGGAAAGAGTAGCTACTTACTTTTGTATAATGCTCTGGACTTTAAAAAACATGTTTTTCTTTTAATGCATAGGATAAATAAATTCTTGGATTTGATACTTATTACGAAGGGATTCTAAATTTTGTTCTTAATCTTTTGTGGAGTTCATTGACCTCTTTGAGAATGGTGAAAGCAGTGGTCTCTCCAGAGAAATGCATTTATTTACACAGAGGCAATTTTCTAATTCAGAAGAGCCTCAGAAGGCCCATGGATTTTAGATTGAGAACTCTTTTGAAAGCACAGACTTCTGATGTCTCTTAAAGAAAAGAGTACTTTTTTATTTTCAACATATAAAAGGAAACAATAAACCTAACTCTAATGAAATGTGTATTTGTTTTAATTTTATATGGCTTCTAATTTACTTATTCTAATGATTTTTGTTTCTGAATTTTGCCACCTCTATAGCATCTGGAGCATAAGAACGGTGCTTATATTCTTCTTTTCCAAGAGAACAGAAAGAAATAGTAAGTTGAATTTCTAAGTTTGTATAAATACATTAGAAAACTCAAAATGCATTGGTTTGTAATTAAATGGCAGGTTATGAAATGTTATATGGAAATGATAAACATGGTATATATTGAAGAGTTGTTTCTTGTGAAGCATAAGAAAGGTTATGAATGATCAAGATGGTTCCACTTTTTATTTGTGTTATTTCTGTCTTGTTCATTTAGAATTTTTATTTGCACAAAAATAATTCATTTATTTAAATCAAGGGAAATTATATTTGTTAAAATAATCTTTATACAAATCTTATTAGGGAGTTTAATACGGTTATACATCTTTTGATTTATTTTATTAATTGCACCATTCTTTGTAACCTCACAGCCCCTAGGCTTTTGTTTTTATTGAAATATACAAATTATGATAAAATAGTCTATATTTGTTCTGCATGTATACAGATTTTAAGGATTTTCAGGTCTTAAAACTATGAGCTACAATTAACCAAAGATATGCCAATTTAATTTTTAATAAAATTTGTGTGACTTATTTTTTCTTATTTTAACTTTTCTTTTTCTGTGTGCGTGTGTGTGTGTGTGTGTGTGTGTGTGTTTTGTTTTAACTTTTCATTATAGAAAATTTCAAACATATATAAAAGTAGACTGAATAATATAATGAACTCTCTTATAGCTTTCATACAACCTAAACAGTCTTTAACTCATGGTCAATCTTGTTTCATTTTTACCCCCACTTATCTACCTTCTGTATTATTCTGAAATACATCCCAAGTATATTTATCCATAGCAGACTTTTAAAATAATTAACACAATACATTATAACAGTTGAAAAAGAAATTTTAAAAATCCTGAGGTTAACATAGGGTAATAACATTACATAAGTTTCAAATGTACAACATTGTAAGTTGATATCTGTATGCACTATAGTTTGCTAGCTACCAATAGTCTAGTTTCCATCATCACCATATATTTGACCCTCCCCCATTTCCTTCCCCCCTGGAAACCACCAATCTTGTCTGAATCTGTGAGGTTTCTTTGGTTTTGTTTTGTTTATTGTTTCTTTGAAAATAATTGTTAATATTATTAAATATGAGAGTATTACATTTCTAGTTATCTCATAAATATAATTTGCTTTAAAAGTATTTCGTTTGTTTGACTCAGGATCCAGATAAAGGTCATACGGATATATTATTTGACTTTCAAACTGCCCTACTTGCTCATTATATGAACCCAGTTGAGGTTCTGTGGTCTAGCCCTGACCATCCCTAACAGGCTCTCCTGATTCATTTGCCCTCTTTCCCAGTCGACTTGTCTGGGAAAACCATACCCTCTTTAAACATACAATAATTGTATGCTTAATCAGTGGCTGCCAAAACCCTGTCCTAGTGAAAAACATTTATATGCTTAATCTTATGCCTGCATCAGAAAAGCTAAATTTATTAGAGGAAAATCATACAGCATGTTGACCAGACTTATTGCAAACACCAATGTACACTCAACAGTGCACAGTCTTATTTTATAGTTCCCTAGTAGATTCACAGTTTTTCTTTTTGAGAGCATTAAGATTGTATTTTTTCTCAAATTTCTAATACCTACCTCCCTGCCAAAACTGCAAAACCAAGTCAAAATAAAACCAACCAACTAACAAACTAACCAAATGAATAAAAATTCAAAAGCCACAAACAAAACCACACAAAAATCTACCTGGCCACTCTCACCTGATAGTTTCACTTTATGGAGAAAATAGATGTAAACAGATGAGAGCTACCTCTTTCACTAAATATATCATTAGCTCCATCTATTACTAAGTATGTTGTCATACTTCATGAAATTCTGGAAGAATGACTTTGATTCTGTATGTGGCTAAGCCCTCCATTTATGCCCTGGATTTTAGATCCTCTCTGGCCATCTCAAGAACTTTGCTCTTATAATTACCCTTTCCTAGAATTATCCTCTCTTTTGTATAACCTGTTTCTGTTGGATATTCTCTATTAGCATTTAATTCTGCCTTAATGCAATCATCTAGAAAGAAAAAACAGAGATACATTGATGTGAGAGAGAAACATGGATCGGTTGCTTCCCACACACTACCTGACTGGGGATTGAATGTGCAACCTAGGTATGTGCCCAGCCTGAGAATCAACTCTGCAATTGAAGTGAGGCAACACTCCAATTAACAGCTATCTGGCCAGGGCTATATATAACCAGTCTATTTTAAATCAGATCTTGTGTGTCTTTAAAATTTCTAATGGCTTCTTATGGCAACAAAAGTAAAATTGATTTCTTACCTCAATTTTCTGGTCTATCAGTTAATAATGTGGATTTTATAATCAAAAAAAATTTTTGATTATAAGAAAACACGATAATTTCAAGAAAAACATCAAAAGAGCTTTATTCAAAGTAATGTCCATCTCTAGCTACACATTTCCCCCATCTTTCAGGTAATTTGTGGATACTATCCCAATAGAACTTTTCTTGTTTTGAGGCAAACCTATCAGAGACCCAATTTTCCACTTCTTTGTACAGTTTGAAGTATTGCATGTGCCATCCATCGGAACAAGTGGTAATCTGAAGGAGCAAGGTCTGATGTATAGGGCGGGTGGGTTAATACTTCCCAGGCAAGATCTTTTAATGTGACTTTAACTGGTTTTGAAGTGTGTGATGGTGTGTCATCATGAAGCAAAATTACTTTGCCATGTCTTCTGGCACATTCTGGTCATTTCACGATCAAAGCGTGGTTCAAATAGATTTTTTGTTGTCAGTATCAAGCAGTATTAATGATTTCACCTGGTTTTAGAAGCTCATAATATACCATACCTTCCTGATCCCACCAAATACAGAGCATTGTCTTCTTTCCAAAGCGTTTTTCCTTGCAGTTGATGTTGATGGTTGACTTGGATCAACCCGATTTTGTGCATTTGGGATTCTCAGAATAAGTCTACTTTTCATCACAAGTCACAATTTGATGCAAAAAAGACTTTCTTTCATACCGTTGAAACAACATTTCACTGATGACTTTTTGGTTTTCCATTTGTCTTTTGTTCAGTTGATGTGGTACACATTTTTCTTCCTTTAAAATCTTTCCCATTGCTTGTAAACAATTGGAAAGTGTTTGCTGAACAATGTTTAATCTTTCTGCAAGTTGTTTTTCAGTTTGACATGCATCTTCATCTATTAATGCTTGTAATTGTTGGTCTTCAAACTTTTTCGGTTGATCTGGACATTCTTTGTCTTTCACATCGAAGTCATCACTTTTAAAGCGTTTAAACCAGCGTTCACAAGTATCTTGAGATGGAGCATGTTCACCATAAGCTTCCTGAAGTATTCAGCAGCACTTTTCTTCAAAATAAAGTAATGAATTAAAACTTTCCACAAATGCTCTTCTTTTTTTTGGTACAAAACTCGGCATTTTTAAGTGTAAAAATATCTATGATTTTAACACCTTCAGAACATTTGACACATGAAGTTTTGAAGCTTGTCAGTACAACAAAATAGCATACATATCAAATCACATATACATCAACTTATGTGTAACGCCATCTACTGAAAAAAAAAAAATCCGTATTATTAACTGGTACATCTGGTATGCCATTTCTCTAACTCCTTGCATTCTCCTTTTTTCATTTTTGCACCAAACATACTGGTCATCTTTTTGTCCTCCAAATAAACTTAAATTATCTGAGCCTCAGTTTCTTAATTTATAAAATGGAAAGAAATATTTGTTTTGGCAAGACTATTGCCAAGTACTGAACAAAAATACATGTAAAAGCATATAAATACTGTTAAGTGTTATACACATGTGGCCTGATGGTACTAATTTTTCTTTTTCAAATCTTACTCTTTTAAAATGTTTCTTGCCTTAGTTAATGGGTTAAGACCCAGTATTATATTGAAGTGGGATAGCAGGTAAATTTGTCTAGTTCCTGATTAACCATTAAGTAGGATATTTGATATGGTTAAAAAAATATTGATACTTTTAAAATCAGATTAAGAAAATTAAGTTTATTGTATTATTTCCAGTGGTATTTAGTAATATAGTAGCTTCTGGAGGATAGTAAGAAGTTTAAAACAAATATACTTTCTGACTTCATGGAGCTAGCAAAATAATAAAAAATTCAATAAGTCCTTAGAAACACTTTCCTAAGGAAATCAAATGTGTGAAGTTTTTTATTTAAACATTTTTATTTATATCTGAAGCTATTTGTCATGTGCTTGCCTTTTTTTGTTTGTCTTATTTTGTTCTTGCTTTTTGTTCTCTTTTAGTTTTATTTCCTTTGTTTTACAAGTTGGAAAGTATAGATTACATTAAGGGTTGGCAACTACAGCCTGTGAGCTAGGTCCTTGTATAGCTCATGATTTAGGAATGGTTTGAACATTTTTTTTTAAAGTTCTTTATTGAAAGTATCACATATGTCTCCCTTTTCCCCATTGACCCCTCCAGGGCCACTCCCACCGCCCAGCACATGCCTTCACCCCCTAGTGGCTGTGTCCATTGGTTATGCTTTTATGCATGCATACAAGTCCTTTAGTTGGGTTTGAATATTCAACTAAAAATTGAAAAAATTCAAAAGAATAATATTTTTTAGCATGTTAAATTTGTGTGGAATTCAAATTTCTGTTTTTATTAAAATACAACCATACCCATTCATTTGTGTTGTGTATAGCTGCTTTCATTCTATAATGGCAGAATTGAGTAGTTATGACAGACTGTGCTGGTGCTCTCAACACTTCAGACTTGTTGCAGCATGCATGACAAATTACAGTGACATAGTTATAATTTGACAGCATTTCAAGTGCCACCTGTATTTCTGTATTGTGACAATTTTATTTTTTGTTACCAGTGCATATTCATCATATAAAAACAAGAATAGAAAATTGGACTTTGAATGTTGCACTTTTAGGGCATATTGGAGTGTAGATTTTATTATCAAAATGCTATAGTTTTTTTTTGTCTCTTCATGCTCCCTTCTAATTGGACCCCTTCCCTATTTTATGACTGTGCTTTTAAATTGGTCAGTCTTTTGCAGAATATCAGCTTCAAAGTTCAACACCCATGTGGTGCCCCCCTTTTTCTCTCTCTCTTGTAACATCTATCTCCTGTGAACATATTTACCTTTTCCAGCATTTGTTGGCATTTCTCTATCCTCTGTGAAAGTATGTTTCCTTTTCCCCCCACACTTGACTTTTCTTGATCCTCTGTGAATGTATGTCTTCCTCTCCCCTTATCCTGTGGCACTTTTCTATTCTCTGATTGTATGCCTTCTGGCGGCTCCAAGGCCTCACCTATGCATTCCTCCCCCATGGACACACTTTATTCCTAAGACTTCATAAACCTCCCTATTTTATTCCTAAAATTCCTTTCAATAATATGCTTTAAAATGGATATTCACATGTTTGTTACCCCAGTACTTGAATGGTATTTATAAATTTAATTAAAAATTAAGAACAGTTTAAATTCTCTTTGATAAAATGTTTAAATCAAGGTATAAATCCTTTTTTTTCCAGCTGGAATAGTATTCCTCTTTGTACTAATTAAATATTTTTAGATAAAAACTCAAAATCTAAAATTAATTTGTAAAGCAGATGTTGACAGTATTTCTAGAGAAAAACTAGAAACCTAAAATATATTTGTAAAGCAGACATCTACATTCATAATTCATTTGAATTGATTCTTTACCATGCCAACCTAAAGCAGACAAATCTTAGAAAAGTTTAATTTTGAAAAGTGAATATTGTTCTCTTCCTTTCCAAGTGCCTCCTCAGGTATAATACTATAAATTTTCAAAGTATTTTCTTTATTAGTGCTCAATACCTTGAAGATTGAATAACTTAATAATATATATCATTCACTTAATTCCTTATAAACAAAGAGAACATTTTTATTAGCAATATATAAAAAGATTTGGTGTTAATTTTATAAATTTGGATGGGATAACGAAAGGAAGGAGAAGTAACAGTAATGTTTCTAAAAACTGAATAATTTTAAATTTGGAAAAATGTTGTAGTCTGTGTTAAGGCAATTTTTCTCTCTATTTAAGTAGCTTGTAATATACACTAAGTGGCCAGATTATTATGATCTCTGAACACATAATAATCTGGCCACTTAGTGTGTATATCATATATAATAAAAGGCTAATATGAAAATTGTCCCTTCAACCAGGAGTTTGACCAGCAGGCTGGCCGGCCAACCCCCGTGCCCCCTCCCCCTGGCCAGGCTGGCCAGACCCCACCCATGCATGAATTCATGCACTGGGCCTCAAGTATATATATGTATACACTGAGTGGCCAGATTTTTATGCATTCAGAGATCATAATAATCTGGCCACTCAGTGTATAACATAGGCAAAATATGAAATATATATGGGTAAAGATTGAGGTCATTTTTATCTGTACATATCAGTGAGAAACACTAAAATGAGAACGTTTTCTTGCAGTTGCTTAATGTTTATTATTTGTCACAATTTTTTGTTTAAGTATCTTAATATCTCACTTAGCTTTGATTTAAATCTCTTTTTCTAGATGAAGCATTGGATGATTTAAAATCCCAGAAGAAAAAAATAGTAAGTGAACTGTTACTTAAAGTTAATTTATGTAAAACTAATAAAGAACTAAATAATGTTTATATGTTGTAAGTAATGACTTCTAAGAAACAAATATGATTTTAGATAGCATTTTAATGATGAAGCTAAATTATGAATATTTTTGCTAGTTAAGACAGGAAAAAGTAGCTATATGGACTTTTCAGATCCTGAGAATTTATATGGAAGATGAGAAGTAAGTAAATGAATCAAATTGGAGCATTAAATAAGGCAGAGGGATGAAAAGTTGTGTCCAGATTGATTATTGATTAGGGGCAAAAAAGGACCAAACATTTACATATGTCAGTTCTTAAGTTTTCTTGACATGATAAGGATAAGAGAGGGAATCAAGAAGATTGATTGTAAGAGACAAATTTAACATGAAAAGACTTAAGAAAGGGGGAGATAGAGATTTTTCCCCTTTTGATTTCTTTTATTTTTTTTGTCAGCAACTCAGATTACTTGAGTAGCTATTGTGGGGCAGTTAAATGCATACTTTGGATATGTTAGAAGGAGGGCCAAGAATGAGAGAAAGAGCCCTAGATATTTAGAGGTTTAAATATTAGTAGTCTCTAACAAGTTAGTTAAACTTAGCTTTTGACTTGAATTTACATGTATTTTTTTCATGTAATTTTTTTGAAATATGAAAGTGATAATTGATACCGGTAGTACTATCATGTTAATTAGATGCAAATGATGAATATATTTTAGTCTAAATGTAATATGTTACAATTATGTATGAAATAAGTAAAATTAATATAGTTAAGATTAATGTTAAACATTGTTCTGTGAATTGGTAGTAAAAGACATTGGTCCTGAGGGTTTTAAGTACCTGAAAAATAAAGAAACTAAGTTCGAAAGGCTTTCTTATCTGTTTTGTTTACTGTTTCTTCAATGTTCTATGAGATATTTATCAAAATTGCATTAACATTTTTCATGGTCCTAAATTGAAACAAATATTTTCATTATATTGTATTATGTTTCTGACATTTTGTACATTATGGAGCAGCTAGAATTCTAAGTGAGGAAATACTTCACTTATATGTGGAATCTAAAGAGCAATGTAAATGAACAAAACAGAAATGGACTCACAGACACAGAGAACAGAATGATAGTTGCCTGAGGGGAGGGAAGTTGGGGGGCTGGGTGAAAAAGGTGAAGGGATTGTACTGATTGGTAGTAACAAATTAGTCATGGAGATGTAAATTGCAGCATAGGAAATATAGTCAATATGTAATAACTATGTATTGCGCCAGATGTGTACTGGAAATACTTCAGGAAACATTTTGTAAACTGATTGTCTAACCATTATGCTGTACACCTGAAACTAATAGAAAATAATCCTATCTAATAATAGAATAATATACAAATTTACCATCACTCCCAAGACAAACATGGCGGCCCCCATAGCCACAAGACGGTGGTGCCCAGTCCCTTCTGCCCTGCTCCTGGAGTGTCTGGCTTGTCTGCAGGAGCAGCGAGGCTGGATCTGCCTTCAGAGGAGGCAGATCCAGCCTCCCAGCTCCACCACTGCTATAGTGTCTGGGCCTGTCAGCCCCGCCGGGGTTGGGGGGACCAAGCAGTGAGGCTTGATCTGCCCTCAGACATGGCAGAAAGAACCCGGACAGCAGGGCATGGAGGCTTCCTTAGTGCAGCAGCAGCAGGGAAGCCCCAGGCTCAGCAAACAGAGCCCGAACAGCAGGGCATGGAGGCTTCGTTTGCAGGGTGATGGTGGAGGAAGCCCCAGGCCTGGCAAACAGAGTCAGGGCAGCAGGGCTTGGGGACTTCCTTAGCATGGCGGTGGCGACGGGAGCACCCTCAGGCCCGGCAGTCAGAGCCCAGACAGCAGGGCATGGAGGTTTCCTTAGTGCTGCAGTGGTGGGGAAGTCCCCAGACATGGCAGACAAATCCCAGACAGCAGGGCTTGGGGGCTTCCTTAGCAAGGTGGCAGTGGGAACACCCCGAGGCCCCACAGACAGAGCCAGGGCAATAGGGCATGGGTGCTTCCTTACTGTGTTGGCGAAGCCCTCAGGCCTGGCAGACACATCACACTGCAGGGCATTGGGCTTTCCTTCACATGGTGCGGGGTGGAGGCAGGCAGAGAGCAGAAAGAAGGGCATGGGGGATTCATGTACGAATTTCATGCACTGGGCCTCTAGTATTGAATGTAATCTTTGAGAAAAAAAACCAAAGTGAGGAAATACTGATGGTTCTCAGTAATTAGAAGTTGTGATATGATTGATATAGTTTTCTGATATGATAAAAAGGAGCGGGTTGTAGTGGTCAGAGCCAAGCCCTGTATGTACTAAAATGGAGAAGTATTGGTTAAAGTAGAAAAGAGTAGGAAGACAAAAGAAAAAAAGAGAAAAAAACACAGAAGAAAATAAAAAATTCCAAATGATGAGAAACAATTCCCATAGTAGTGGCGTCACATCACTGGAAAACAGAATCTTGGAGCAAACTTGGAAAATTCTATGAAAGGGCAAGGCAAGCTATTTACTAATTCTTTAATAGCCATTGAAGGACTCAGAGCATAAAAGGTGCTTCATTTAGGTGTGATAATAGGAAAATTCATTTCAGGGTTCAATAGTTGAATATTGAAATGGATTATGAAGCATTAGTATTAACAGAATAGTTCAGTATGGCATTTTTCTTATAGTATGATTAAAGAAAACAAGTTGGCTGTTGTAACTTATTTTATTAGAAAAATAAGTTGGCTGTTGTAACTCACTTTATTAATTAGGGACCACAATTTACATCGACTTGAATGTTGCTGGTAATGATACTGTTGCTGCTGGGAACTAGTCTCTGGCCTTTGTTGCTGGAGCACTTAACAAAGCTGCTTTGTTTGAGTAGCTTTACACTTTGATTAGAACAATAGGCTTGTTAAGGGTGAAATAGTAGTAGGCCTGGGCTAGCTAATGATTGTGCTGGTTCTGAGAAGCAAAAGAAGGGACATTAGTTTGAGCAAAAGCTAAATAATCAAAGTGGTCTTGTTCATTGATGTTGAAGTTTCCACTCTACATCTATAGCTTTAAAAATACTTTTATTGTTTAAATGTCTGCAGGAAAATGACTATCAGTTTAAAATTATTCAACTCCTTAACCTCTTTTATTAACAAAATTAATATACTATATTTACTACCTGATATTTTATTATAGGTGGTTTTCTTAGGGATGCATCTCTTTAATATGATTAGATTTTTTTAAAAAAATATATTTTATTGCTTTTATACAGAGAGGAAGGGAGAGAGATAGACAGTTAGAAACATCGATGAGAGAGAATCATCGATCAGCTGCCTCTTGCACACCCCCTACTGGGGATATGCCCGCAGCCAAGGTACATGCCCTTGACTGGAATCGAACCCGGGACCCTTCAGTCCCCAAGCTGACGCTCTGTCCATTGAGCCAAACCAGTCCCGGCTAATATGATTAGATTTTTAATGTAATGTGTAATTTGTAAAAGTATAATTTTTAACAATGATCGTGAATTATCAGTTGATTAAAAAGTTAAATTACTAAAAAGTTAAATTACTTAGAAAGAAAAATGAGTAACATCTTAATAGTGTTTTAAATCTAAGAACTTAATGTCAATAAAGCTAGGAATTGATCTTCAGTTATCTAAAAAAACTACCAAGTTTGGATGTGTATATTTTGCCACTCACATATTTTGTGGTCTTTAAATTAAAAAAAAATAAATCATTGTTCAGTATATAATCCCTCTGCATCCATGAGCATCCTATCAAAACAATTCAAAAGCAAGATAGAACACATGAGTCAAAATGAACTCTTTAAATGGCTTCATGAAAATGCCATGTGTTTTCCAAGATAGCATGTGGTAACTTCTTTCTGGCATTTCTCAGGAAATTTACCAAATCCTGAAAAAAATGAGTTGAGAAATTGGAAACATGGAAAGAAGTGTTATAATTCTCAACTACAAATATTATTGGTTCAAAAGAATCCACTAATGTCACTTGAAAACAAGAGCAAGAAATGCTTACATTCTGAGCTGTAAGTTAATGTGGACGTTTCTGGAAACAGGACCATGTATAAGAGAAGTGGAACAATTTAATTAGTCTTGCTCTTGTGGCCAGGTTATAACTATGTTTTATGGTCCTGTCTTATTAATGGTGAGTTGTTCTCATAAATAAATATTAGTAAGCTTATACATCTAGTATTTTGGAAATAAAGGATGTCCTTAAATTGGCAATTTCAGCATGTGATTCTGTGTAATGTTTCAAATATTACATTTTTATATTATCCAATAATGTTTGCTGGCATTTTGCAGTGTTTGAATATTCATCATAGGCTACAGATCTTTAACAAAAAAGTGCAGAGAGAGAAAAGTTGTGACTATTATTGTGAAATACTCCTATATGAAATCAGAAAACGTTGTAAAATCTGAATTAGTCAATACAATATTGATATCAACAGCAAAACCCAAGTTAGGGTAAATAGACAATATTTTCATTGTTGTAAAAAGGTGAGTTTAATGTTACAACATGTATCCTAATGCTCTGAATACCTTTCATCACATTCTTAATAATTTGACCTAAGCCAATGCAAAATGAAAGAAAATTTTCTACATTTGGGATATTTGTCATGAAACAGAAGTCAAGAATATTGTCTAAGGCAATTAATAATTTGTATATTTTAAAATTTTATTTCAATAATGATAACTTAAATATCAAATATGTGTGTAATCATCTTTCAAAATTAAAAATAAATTTTAAAGTTTAATCCTCCATTTTTAAATTTTTAAATTGATTTCAGAGAGAGGAAGGGAGAGGAAGAGAGAGATAGACACACCAATGATGAGAGTATCATTCATTGGCTGCCTCCTGCACGCCCCCTACTGGGGATCGAGCCTTCAGCCCAGGCATGTACCCTGGGCATGTACTCAGGAATGGAATAGTGACCTCCTGGTTCAGTGAGTTGAAGCTCAACCACTGAACGACACTAGCCAGGCTTAAAATTAAAATGTTTTTGACATTTATTTTTTGTTAGTGTTTCCTTTTAGGAAACACACTTGCTTAAAATCTTTCTAGATGATGAAGAATGGAGATGTGCTTTGGACCCAATTCTTTAGACTTCAAAGTTGGTTTATTTTCTCCTTAGTCTCCATTGCCCTAGGAATTGTGTCTGTGAAGATATTGCTATGACATATGTCTGCTATTTTGCTGCCTATGGAGTCTTGTAGGATTTTTATGGTTTCCCATCTTACATTTAAGTCCTTTAGACATTTTCAGTTTGTTTTTGTGTAAGGTGTAAGTTGGTGATCTAGTTTCATTTTTTGCATGTATCTGACTAATTTTACCAGCACCATTTATTGAAAAGACTGTCTTGACTCCATTGTATGCTCTTGCCTCCTATGTCAAATATTAATTGAGCATAATAGCTTGGGTTGATTTCTGGGTTCTCTGTTATGTCTGTTCTTCTGCCAGTACCAGGCAGTTTTGAGAACAGTGGCTTTGTAATATAGCTTGATATCTGGTATTGTGATCCCTCCAACTTTGTTTCTCTTTCTCATGATTGCTGTGGCTATTCCGGGTCTTTTTTTATTCCAGATGAATTTTTGGAGAGTTTGTTCTTGGTCTGTGAAATATGCTGTTGGTATTTTAATGAGGATTGCATTGAATCTATAAGTTGCTTTGGTAGTATGGATATTTTAATGATGTTGATTCTACCAGTTCATGAACACGATATGTTCTTCCATTTGTTTATCTCTTTTTTCAGTGTCCTGTTTTTCAGTTTTTCAGTGTCCTGTTTTTCAGTTTTCCACTTATAGGTTTTTTACCTCCTTAGTTAAGTTTATTCCTAGGTATCTTAATTTTTTTTTTGTGTGTGTGTGTGTGTGTGCAGTAGTAAATGGAATTGTGTTTTTTTTGTTTTTGTTTTTTTTTAGTTGCTCTTTCTGTGAGTTCATTATTGCTGTATAAAAAAACAATAGATTTCTGGGTGTATCCTTCTACATTGCTGAATTCATTTATTAAATTTAGTAGTTTTTTTGATGGAGTCTTTAGGGTTTTCTATGTACAATATTATGTCATCTGTGAATAACGACAATTTTACTTCTTTTCTAATTTGGATGCCCTTTATTTCTTCTTTTTGTCTGATCGCTATAGCTAGCACTTCCAGTACTATGTCTAACAAGAGTAGTGAAAGTGGGCATCCCTGTCTTGTCCCTGTTCTTAGGGGAAATGCTTTTAGTTTTTGCCCATTGAGTATGATGTTGGCTGTAGATTTGTCACATAAGGCTTTTATTATGTTGAGGTATGATCCCTCTATTCCCACTTTGCTGAGAGTTTTTATCAAGAAAGAGTGTTGGATTTTGTCAAATGTTTTTTCTGCATTGATTGACATGATTATGTGACTTTTGTTTCTCAATTTGATGTGTCACATTTATTGATTTGTGGATATTGTACCAGCCTTGCATCCCCGGAATAAACCCCACTTAGTCATAATGTAAGATCTTTCTAATGTGATGCTAGATCCGATTTTCTAGAATTTTGTTGAGGATTTTAGTAACTATGTTCATGAGGGATATTGGCCTGTAGTTCTCTTTCTTTGTGGTCTTTATATGGTTTTGGAATTAGGGTAATGCTGACTTCATAGAAAGAGGTTGGAAGTGTGCCTTCCTCTTGAATTTTTTGGAATAGTCTGAGGAGATAGGTTTTAGTTCTTCTTTGAATGTTTGATAGAACTCTCCTATAAAGCTTTCTGAAATAGAGCTTTTGGTTGCTGGACGATTTTTGATTACTGCTTCAATTTCATTGGTAGTTATCTATATATAAATAATTTCTATCACTATATAAAGTTCTGTTGCTACAACACTTGTCTAAAACATCAAAAATTAATTTGTGGAGATCAGGGATTCAGTTATTTGATATCCTATATAGATTATGTTTATTTGGGGATATATTCTATCTTATATCCTTTCTCTAACTTCATTACCAACTTTTCCCCAACTCTAAAGTGATACTTCCCTTACATCAGAAGATTAAATTTCCCTGCTTTGAGAATTTATTATAATTTTGAAATAGGAAAATGTTTTAGTTTCACTAAACCTAGGTTAATAAATCATTCATCTAAGCACTTAGCTGCTTAAATGTTAAATTGAGTTTTTCATGAGGAATCTATTACTATTCTGGCAACATATTTTTAACTGTATTTTTTAATTTGGTATGTGTGTTCTGTGTTGCATATTAAAATAAAAGTCCTTTGGGATATGACATTTAATGAATCCGAGGTGCTATCAGTGGTCATTGAGAAGGAAAAGGTCCAGTTCCAGTGTTTGCAAGAGCGTTTTATTCCACACATTAGCTATTTGTTATAACTTGACTGTCTTGTACTAAACTTAAATTTTTTTTGATATTGGGCCATAACTGCTAAAATGATACTTTACTAGTAATTACTTTAAAATTAAACCCAGTATTAACCCATAAAGTGACTTGAGTGCATTGTAAATAAAATGCTATAATAATGAAGTATTTTAATTAAATTCTCTAGTGTGAGCATAGAACTCAGTAAAATTTTAACTTTAATTATTAGTATGTTCATGTTTTTTTTCTCTTTAAAGTTATTTGATTCTAAGTATAAAAACAGGGAGCTTTAGCTTTTAAAGTAATTTGAGCAAATTCCATGGCTGTTCTCCCAGTTTAGTGAGTGTTCACTGCATTTGCAGCAAGCTAATTGCTTCTGCTAATAAATAATCTAAAATCGATGCTGACAGCAGTTAATTGGCACAGAGATTTTATTTTGTAAAGCTCTTGGCTAACGACCTTCTTTAAATTAATAGCATTAAGTGCTATGAGGAAATAAATCTAAGGAATTGCCTGTCATTTGCTTGTCATGTCTAATAACTTCCAATAATGATGGCTGATAGATTTTTGCACATTCCATTATTGAAGTTGGTGCATGTAATTATTCTCCTCATTATATGTAAACAATTAGCAATATTTGGTATTTCCTTGCAGTAAAACTGTTAAATACAAGTAACATATTAGAGGTTAGAAGTCATTTTAAAATCTGGATTTTAATTATTTGTATGTAGGAAGTCTTTCATGCTATCTGGATATATTATGTGCTGTTTATTTAAGCCTATACTTGAACACTTTTTGAATGGGACTTATAAAATAAGTTCTGTGTGCTTTAAAAATGTGGAATTTATGGAAATTTTTGTTTCCAGCTTGAAGAAGTCATGGAAAAAGAAACTTATAAAACAGCTAAATTAATTCTTGAAAGGTTTGATCCAGATTCAAAGAAAGCAAAGGTAAGGCTGTGATACCACTACTATTTTATTATAAACTGCACATTGTAATAGATCACTGTAATAACATTATTGCAATTGACAGGAGTTTGAGCCGCCATCTGCTGGACCAGATGTAACTGCAAGACCTGGACAAGGTAAATAACTTTGTAGAAACTGCTGCTGCTGTTGGAAAGATCCATATTTCCCCAAGTGAGTTAAAAATGTGTTAGAGAGGTGTATAAAAACTTATGTAGAATGCTTTTTTGTTAATTTTTATTTGGTAATTTGGGGTATGACTTGGAATGATGGCAATATGTTTATCTCATTTTGATTTTATAGGATTATGTTGACAAAGATGTTTTCTATTGAGATTAAATATACAGTTGGTTTAATTTTTGAAATCTAAGTAATTTAAACAATATTTTAAAATTATTTTTTCTCCTGTAAGTAAGGATTTCTTGGAACATCTATTTTTAAGAAAATTTTTACATTTTTATTATTTTTTGGGATTAAGTTTAATGAAGATTTTTGTCAAATTTGAAGTTTCTTCTGAAATAGCACTTTTATTTAGGAAGAGAAAATAATTTAGAAATGAGGAAAAATTGAATTACTGCTACTTAATAACATTAACTCTTTTGGAGGTTATATTGCCAAATTATTAGTGAAATCATCACAATTTTGTTACTAATTATTACGTAAACTTTAAAAGTTGTTATTTTAAGTGGTTACATAAAGTTTTCCCAAGACTGCCATGTAAAAGATATTTTGAATTTGCATTGGCTTTCTCTTTGTTCTCTTGTCTAGAATCAAATAATATAGTTTGTAAGGATTTTGTTGCAATATAGACTGTGCTATTTAAAAATTTTTAACATTTATTCTTATAAATCATCAGAATTTTAGTCTGATTATAAAGTTGAGATGACATATAGAACTTTGAGAAGTCAATTCTTTTATAAATGTCTCCAAAGACTCTGTATTCTAAATAAGCTATAATAGTTTTAAGTTTTCTAATTGGAAAGAATCCCATCCTCTTCCATAATTCCATAAACAGGATTTTAGTTTTTAGAAACATTAGCTTGCTCTTTTGATAAATGTAAAAGCTTACATATGATTAAGATAAATAGGCATCAATACTTTCTATGAAACTCTTACTTCCATAATCAGTTTAAATTTTCTACTTAAATTTAAACTTTTTCCTAATAATTATAAAAAACCTTTTTTTTTTTTTGTCTATAGGCTATGTTTCTGTATTTATACAGTATTTTGTATAACTGGGACTAACTTTTCAAAAATACTTTTTAAATAATCTTAGTGAATACATTTTTAAAATGTGATATTTTACAGCTGTTTTAAAAAATCTATTGCTAGCAGTTATTTAAAGAAAAATATGACCTTTTCACTCTAATACAGATATATGATTCCCTTTCCTGACATTCTTAAATATTTATTAATATTTAGGCAACATAAGTTTCTTCAAGAAGCTAAACTTACCTTTACTTTAGAAGCTTTGATATTCAAAAACATTTTTTCCTTCTGATGTCATGTCTTAATTATAGAAAAACCATTGCTAAAAATAACAACAATAAAACTTATTGTTGATGGTCTCTCTGCTTTAGAATATTCTGCTTTCAAATATTTTCTGGAGAATTAACATTTAGCTACATATAAATGAAGTGTTCATTTAAAAGAATGTATTAAATAACTTATGTGCAAGCACCATGGAGAATAAACAGATGATTATAATATGGTTTTTTTACTTTAAGAAGCTGATAATCTTCTTTTTTTTAAAATATATTTTATTGATATTTCACAGAGAGGAGGAAGGGAGAGAAATAGAGAGCTAGAAACGTCGATGAGAGAGAAACATCGACCAGCTGCCTCTTGCACACCCCCTACTGGGGATGTGCCCGCAACCAATGTATTGTACATGCCCTTGACCGGAATCGAACCTGGGACCTTTCATTCCGCAGACCGACGCTCTACCACTGAGCCAAACTGGCTTTGGCAAGAAGCTGATAATCTTTAAGAAGATTTATTCTGGAGCGTATTGTTCCAGTATTCCTGGCTCTACTAGGTCTATGTAATTAACTGCTTTTTAGAGTTAAGGTGATAAAGAATAGAGTTAATTTTGGACCTATATGTTTGAAATGCCTGTTAGACATCCAAGTGGCGATATTAAGGAAACAGTTGAGTATGAGTCTGGCAAACAGGAATTATCTGGGCTGGAGATATAAATTTGGGTGTCACTAGTATGTGGATGGTATTAAAACCATGAGACTGGATGTGATTACTACCGATGTTAAATATGGAGAAAGAAAAGGACTAAGGCCACCCTAGGGTATGCTAACATTCAGCTGTTGGGAATAATGAAGATGAACCAGAAAAAGAAACTGAAAAGAGGTGGTCAGTAAGATAGGAAACCCAGGAGAGGTTGAGTCCTGGATGATAATTGAAGAGTGTTTTAAGGTAGTGGTCATCTGTTACAAAAACTACTGCCAAACAAATTGAGGGTCAATAATTAAACATTGATTTTTAGTAATGTTGAGTTCTTTGGTGACCTTGAAGAATGGGGGCAAAAGCCTGATTAGGATGGGTTTAAGAAAGTATGGGAGAAGAGAAGTTGGAGACAATTGAACAAACAATTATTTTGAGTAAAAGGGAGTGGAAAAATAGGTAGCTGGAGGCAGAACCATTTGTGTTTCACTCGTTTTCTTAATGAGAATGCATGGATAAGGAAGATGTTGGAGTTATGAAGAGAAGGTATAAAATAATTCTCTAGCAGAGTATGAGAGTAAATAGGTTAGGAAAATATAGAAATGCCAGAGGACACTAACATCCACTTGAAGTTGATGGTCATCCATTTAAAGCATGTGTCTTTTCTAGTTGTGTTTAGCTGTATGGGTATCAGGCATGGAGTAGGCAGAGAGTTGGCTTTACCCAGGAGTAAGATTTTGCCTAATGGATTAGATAAAGTGATAAAGGGGCAGGGAAGTGAAATTGTGTACAAAAAGGGAAGGATTATAATACTGTATTATGAAATCTAAGGTGAACATGAGGGAAATAAGGACAATGAGAGGGGAATAATGGACAGTCAGAGGTATTGGTAATATTAAAATAAGGTTCTCAAACTACAGCCTGCAAATCTGGGCCCAAATCTCTTTTTTATGACTCTTGAGCTTAGAATTGGTTTTATATTTTTTAAATGTTCTAAAAAATAAATAAGAACAAGCTATGCAACAGAAACCACATATGGTCAACAGAATATAAAATGTTTACTGTCTGACCCTTTACAAAATAGCTGGAAAGCTAAGTGTTTTGAGAGTGGGATGATTGAACTTGAGAGGAGTGCAGTTATTCTTAATGACTAGGATATAGGACTAGATGGTGACCATAGATAGGAGTGAATGACTGAACTAGAGAGGCTGATAAGAATATTGGAGGATGCCATCTGTAGCTAAAATAAATTCTTAACAGACCCTTCTATATTTGTTTCAAAAAGGGAGTCACCTCTACATTCTCTTTACCTGTGTGTATAGCACTACATCTCTCTTAATGAAATTAACAAAAGAAAAGTCAATTGTATCCTGCCACAGGTAAATTTGAAATCAATAAGTATTACAGAAAAATTTAATGGCTCTAGCAAATAGATTACAACTTCTTATTTAAGTAAGAGTTTAGAGTTTACTTACTTCGTGGCATATAGGGAAGATTAAAGTATAAATCATTAATCTTTTTTGAGAGCAAATGGAATGGCACTTTATATTTTGCTGTTTTTTTGGGAGGATATACATTTGATTAAGGAAATCTGGAAAACACCTTATAAAATAGCAAATTTTATGTTTTGGGTGTTCTTTACTTAAGTGTCATATCTATACTGTTACAGTTATCTATTGTTACAAGCCACCTCAAAACTTAGTGGCTGAAAACAGTATTCATTTGTTTTACTCAAGAATTTGTGATTTTGGCAAGGTTTGGTAGAAACAGCTCATCCCTGCCTCACATAAGATAGAGCTGTCTTGACTGGAGCTGAAGCTCATCCCTGCCTCACATTAGATAGAGCTATCTAACTGGAGCTGAAGGATCTATTACCAAGATGGCTTAACTCACAAGGCTAATATGTTGGTGCTGGCTGTTGGTTTGTCTCCACCTGGACCTCTCTAATGGGGTCAGTTGGGCTTGCTGCTAACATGGTGTTTGGGTTCTAAGAGCACACAGCTCAAGAGACAGAAAGTAGTCCTAGAAACTGGTACACCTATATTTTTGTGGTCAAACAGTAACAGTACAGATTCAAGGGAGAGGACATTTACACCCTTCTTTCTCCATTTGATGGGAGGCAAATCAAAGAATTTTGGATTCTTGAAACTGCCATATGTACCTTAATACAGTTAACCAAAGGCATTTCTATCCCCATCTATTTTTAGTGTTCATCTTAAATGGCACCATTATTATAAACCCTTTCTTCTCCCATCACTAAGTTTGTATCTTCCCCTTCTTGAACTCCTTGTGGTACTTTGTTGGTTCTTTTTTTATGGCACTTACCTTGCATATGTGTATTTTATATTATCTTTGCTTGCCACCTCTAAATGCAGCTCTGAGTCCCATTTAGCAGTGCTTTCCTTATAGTGGCTGCTTAATAAATGTTTGAGCTTAAGAAGATAAAAGGAAACCTATTTTTAATTCATGAATTTTGTTTAAATGTTATGAAATAGTAATTAACCAAATGGGATAACCTTGGTGAACTTTCAGATCAAGTTTGCATTTTAGAAAGAACACTTTTTTTTTTTTTTTTTTAAACATGGAAAATGGATTGGTGAGAGCAAGGTGAGACATGGAGATCAATTTGGATATCATCTAACATATGTAAGAGATAAAGGCCTACACTACATAAACTTGTAGTGAAGAAGTTGAAAAAGGAAGAGATTTAAGAGAATTCAGGTTTAAGAGTAGATTGACAGAACTCAATGGCAATCAGAGTTGAAAAGGGGAGTGGGAGGAGAAGTCACAATATTGCTAGGTTTTTGGTTTGGGTAACTGGTTAGATGTTAATGTTTTAAGCAAGATAAGGAACATAAGAATTGGAGTAGTAGGTTGTGTAAAAGATAATGTATTTGCTTTTGGATCTGTTGATTGGGAATTATGTTCAAGTGGTGTGGTT